CCCCCAACTACCTCCCCAACCTCCGCCATGTGGCAGCTGGCGAAGCGTGAAGCGGCAAAGGCGTCTCCCAGCGGCGCTGTCCTACCGCTGCTGCCCCACGTGGGAGAGAGCGACACGGACGCGCTCGCCGAGAATCCCGACAGGACTACAGGAATGGTGGGGGAGGCGGAGGAGGAGGAGGAGGACGAGTTTGGGTACAGCTGGAGTGAGTTCGCTTTAACAGGGCTGCCAAAACTCTTATTTCACCGAGGGCCACATGAGCATTATAGTTGTGATTAACTGTGACATTTCATATTTAACTTTGATTCATCTTCAAGTTCTTCATCTCATTGCTACGGCTGAGGTCAGCAAACAAACAATAGCTGAGCTCTACGTGGTATTTCCTGCATAGAAACAGTGTTTTACCACGTCTTATAAACACTGAAACATATTACGTGTACAACTGAGTAAATGTGAAATAAATGGACTGTATTTATATAGTCTTTTTATCCATCAAAGCACTTTACATTACAATCTGTGTCCTCATTTACCTATTCACACTAGGGCTGTGTATTGGCAAGAATTTGGCGATACGATACATATTATAACAGAGGGGTCACGATACGATATATCCCGATATATTGGGATACTGTAAGCAAGGCAATACATTGCGATTTTTTGTCCAAAAATTCTATTAAATAAAAACCTCTTACTGAAAAAAAGAAGAAAAGCTGATGTTTACCTACAATGCTAATGCTACTCTTACTCTCTGGCGCTAAAAATGTAGAGGAGCCAAATGGCTGGCTCACTGCTGCCAACTAGTGGTCAGAGGCTGAACTACAACATAAAAATGAACGGTTGGCAGGAAAGTTGACATTTTAAACCTTAATAAAAAATCTGTACAGGGTGTTAGAATATCGATACAGTATTGGGAAATGAAATATCGCGATATTTCAGTGTATCGATATTTTCTTAACAGCCCTAATTCACACAGCACTCTACTACAACCCTCTACAAAACTGATCCATCATTCTATAGAGACTAGTCAGTGCCTAAAATCACATTCGTACACTGATGGGACACACATCAGAGGCAGTGGGGGAGACACTTTGACATGTGACTGAATAGCAGTGGAATTGAACCGCCAACTCTTTCGTTGGAGGAAGACCTCCCTAACCYCTCAGCCACGGCCGCCCAAATAAATAATAAAGAAATACTAAGAGTTTTACTCACTGTTGTGGTGAGGAGCTTCCATCACGTATTGTGAACTCTCCCACTTTCTGACCAGGAATTCCCATTGGAAGGGCGTTCCAGTTTAAATTTACATCTTGTAAGTGGAAAATTTGCACTTCCCAGTACAACTGGGCCTCAGCAAAAGTAGCCAGCGAAAATGCATTAGAGATTTTACAGGGTAGATTTTTTTTCTGGCTATTTTTGAACCCTGTGCACCTCTACCTTCAGGTAAAATAATCGACATGCATTATGGGATATGTAGTTTGTGGTCTTTAAAGTAGCATACATTTATTTTAAGACATCTTTGATGCTCTCACGGACCACATAAAATGYAGTGGCAGGCCATATTTGGCCCATAGGCCTCAAGTTTGGCACATTCTTTAGGATGTGTTCGGCAAAAAGAAGAGCAATAATGTCTTTATAACTTTTCTTCCTGGATTTGTTTACCTGCTGTATTGATAATTGGCCACAAGAGGGCATCCAAGTCTCATGTTTCCCCCTTCAGCACCAATAAAAGTGGCCTCATACTCACGCTTGACTTGGACTCAGTAAGGTGTCAGCTATAGGCTGAACTCAACCCTTCAAACAGATCTGTAAGCAGGAAGGACAGTCTTTTAGCCTTCAAAACTCCCAGGACTGTGGAGAGWGTGTGTGTGTGTGTTAGCGATAGTCCATCCTGTGGGGATAAGATTGATGAGGTTGGGCCCAGGGAGGTGMGTAGTGGAGATTAGTAGTATGGGAACTGATGGTTCAACAGTGGCAGRGAGCCCAGAACAACACGAGCCCATTGAACTGAAGAGTGGCTATCGAACACGCCAGAGACAGCAGAGGTGTAGAGAGAGAGGAAGAGGAGAGACCGCAGTGAGAATAATAAAAAAAGAAAGTAAGATAGAGTCTGAGATAAAGGGTGAAATCAAACTCAAATTTATCATCGGCTCTCGAGTTTGAAATTGTCTCTGAGCTAATGAGGTCAAAGAAGGAACGTCAGCGAGCTCCGCTGTCGGCTTACACGTCTTCCTCTGCTTCTCACAGAGAACATAATCCAGCGCTACGGCAGCCTCCCAGGAGTCCTCCACATGATTGAGCTGGAGAAAGGGAAAACCGGTCTGGGTCTGAGTCTGGCGGGGAACAGGGACCGCTCCCGCATGAGTGTGTTCGTGGTGGGAATAGACCCGAACGGTGCGGCCGGCAGGGATGGACGGATGTTTGTGGGAGATGAGCTGCTGGAGGTAAACCCATTAGCTGTACTCACTGTCCCTGTATTATTGCATCTATACCGCACTGTGAAAAAGTTTTAAACTATATTTGTATCCTTTGCTTTTTTTTTTGTAATGTTTTTGTATCCTAAAAAAATTATTTTTCTCAAAGGCGACTAGACTTTTGGATAGACCAGACCAACAAAGACCCTGAACCCCTTATTTACACTGCGTCCGCTCAGGTGCTCTGAGAAGCATGCTGGGTAATGCAACATAAAACCAGTGATAAATATTGAAGTCAACAAAACACTTCATACTTTTCAAGATAGACTCAGACTTAAATAACACTTTTATATATATAACTACATGGTTGGACTCAAAATAAAAGTTGAAACAGCGTCACTGTTTTGTTTTAAAACATTTGGTTCCAGAATAAAATCCCCATTTTCTGTTTGTTTCTGTTATGTGTATGCATAACCATGAATGATCAATTTTAGCAGCATTTGTGTATAAAATACCCTGATACATGTCCTGATGCATCTCAGTAATCCAGGTAAAAAATCAAAAAGAAAAAATTGTATAGGTCTTCTGGACGGGTTCTTCTCTAATGAAACGTTTCGTCTCTCCTCCAAGAGACTTCTTCAGTCTGAGAGTTTCAGGCAAAATTCAGGCTTTTAAGCCCTGCCTCCATGTGACTGATACTCACATCACATGGCTATCGTTGACACCTAATTGACACCTATTGTTAACAGGGGGTGGAGTGATACTGGCAATAGCAGCACTGTAGGAGGGGGACAACTGAAAACGGAGGCCTCCACCTCTGTTTAACGATGGACGGTCTTTCTTCACAAAAATGGCTTCTTTTACTCCTCTCTCAAACCAACGTTCCTCTCTATCAAGAATGAGAACATCCTCATCTCTGAAAGAGTGACCGCTGGCCTGTAAATGAGTGAAAACTGCAGAGTTCTGGCCATTAGATGTAGCTCGTCTGTGTTGGGACATTCTTTTGAACAGTGGCTGCTTTGTTACCCTGATACATATTAATAAAACTAGGTGTTTGACAGAATATAATCTTGTCTTTGGTGAATTATGTTGAAAAAGTGCTCGTTCATTTTCCTGTCAGTGCAGTGTGATCTTCGTTGATCAACTCCGCATTTGATCCGACAAAATAGACCCTAGTCAAATCTTGGCGGATAGCTGTGCACTTGCTACCACCCTACAGAGGTAATGTAAATGCTGTCATTGACTATAAGGGTCCGTTTTTACTGCGGAGTTCATGGCACGGCAGAGCGGACGCAGTGTAAATTTGGGATAATGATCTTTAGGTTCGAAGGAAGAGATTTGAGTTGCGGGTGTTTCGGAGAATCTGAGACGTTTATTTTCTAAACATGATGTCCCAGTGGCTTTCAAACCCCAAAACACATTACGGCAAAGGCTGGTTCACCCCAAAGATCCGGTGCCCCGGCACAAACAGAGCAATGTTGTATATGCTGTTAAGTGCCAGGAGGACTGTGACCAGTTATACATCGGGGAAACAAAGCAGCCACTGTTCAAAAGAATGTCCCAACACAGACGAGCTAATTCTAATGGCCAGAACTCTGCAGTTTTCACTCATTTACAGGCCAGCRGTCACTCTTTCAGAGATGAGGATGTTCTCATTCTTGATAGAGAGGAACGTTGGTTTGAGAGAGGAGTAAAAGAAGCCATTTTTGTGAAGAAAGACCATCCATCATTAAACAGAGGTGGAGGCCTCTGTTTTCAATTGTCCCCCTCCTACATCGCGGCCATTGCCAGTATCACTCCACCCATTGTTAACAATAAGTGTTAATTAGGTGTCAACGATAGCCATGTGATGTGAGTATCAGTCACACGGAGGCAGGGCTCAAAAGCCTGAATTTTGCCTGAAACTCTCAGACTGAAGAAGTCTCTTGGAAGAGAGACAAAACGTTTCATTAGAGAAGAACCCGTCCAGAAGACCTACACAATTTTTTTCTTTTTAGATCTTAGTTCAGCTCGTATAATCGATGCAACTTGCTGTAGTTTTAAAGCTTGGAAGTCCTCAGAAGAGAAACAAAATATCAATGAAAAGAAGAAAAGAAGCTCAGTCACCTTTCTTTTCAACACTTCTGGTAATCTTTTAAAATCTTCACCAGTATTTCTCCAGGCCTTCTAAAGGTCTTTGAAGGATTTTTTTCCAAAAAACTTCCTCTGAAAATGGTCAGGCATCAGATAGAAAATAGTTTAAAAAGCAGCCGAAGTCCAAAGATCTTCAAAAAGTTTGGAAGAAATGTTGATCAAAATCTTCTTCCTCCATCTCACTTTGTCACTCCCTCTCTGTTGGTCAAGATCACTTTAACAAAAAAAAAAAGATCCAAGAAAGTCTGACTCTTTGGAAGTACATTATAATGAAGAAAACAAGGATTTGACTCAACTGTTTGCATGACACTGTCTCACCAGCTTTATGAGCTTTAATCTCTGTTCTTTCAGATCAATGGACAGGTTCTGTACGGTCACAGTCATCAAAATGCTTCAGCTATAATCAAGAGTTCTCCATCTAAAGTTAAAATCATCTTCATCAGGTAATGTTTTTGAACTRGTAACACCTGAGAATCTGTGGTAGTGCAAAAAAAAAAATCCACCAGATGGAGCTATTGTTCCATGGAAATCAATTCAACATAAAGCCATATATGCATGTATATATTAAGCAGTGACATGTAGCAGATCTTTTTTAATGAAAGTTAGAGATTGTTGTATTTTTAATATCCAAAATATATATTTGTTTCTCAAATAAACTTCCTGGTAATTTAAATTTAAACAGTTTGTTTATAATCTCAGCRTCTTTATAGAACTCAGTGTGATCATAAAAGGGTTTTTACTGTCGTCTGCACCAGAGACAGACTATCAGCTGTCTCATCACCACAGACTGAAGACATGTTTGACCTCTGATCCCTGCTATAGTCTTAGCCAGGATCCCCCTACTTAACCTCCCAGTCCTGACCCCCCCTACCCGCCCCCAGGAGAGACACTGTGATCAGCCGGAGGAAATTACCGTACTGCTGCTTCCGAAGTAGAGGACCAGCCACTGACATGAGTTATGACTGTGTGAAACAGGAACACAGAAGCACTGAACCAGATGGCCGTGGGACCTGTGAGGGAGCACGAGGGAGATGCAGAGGAGCCCCATGCYGAGGTACGTTTCTGCTCGCAGACAGACTCCCGTCATGCAACCGTTCATCAGTGACCCTCTGGCTTCTAAGTTCTGCTCGTGTTTATTTGTCCAGTGTGTGGTCCCCGATGATTGTCACACACTCAAAAGAGCTCTAAATTGTTGGGTGAAGATGATTTCCAACAACCATGAAACAAACAAGTTCGTCTTTACGCTTGTCTAAACATGGACCAGCTAATGATGAGCTCACCCATGACCGTAGTTTCCACATTATCATCTTTTCAGAATAAACCGCCCCAGCAGAAAAACACTAGGACGCTCCCAAATTCCCTTTTTTTTTTCCTTCTTTTACCCTTGTTCAGGTGAAGACTGAGAATCCCATTTAATAAACAAAATGAATCAACAACTGGAGTTGAAAAGCATTGTAGTTTGTATCTGTTCCTGTAAAAATACCAGCAGTAATGATTTTATTTCCCCAGTTATCTTCATGGCGACATTACACCCTCAGACAGACAATTTTGACACAAATAGTCGTGTTTTTAGAACATTGGTAGACATTCTGACTCCAAACAAGGACACTAAAACACTGGCACTGACTAACAAAAACATAGTTATTCTGTATTTTAGTTGGTTTCAGGCCTCTGTATTACAGTGGAGAGAAATCACATAAAAATTAAAACACTTCGACGTGGTTAGTGACATGAAAAAACCTGGATTCAAAAATCCCATAAAATACTTGATTCGAAGGATCATATGTCTTCTAGAAACAAGAAGCCTCACAATCACTTCATGGACTTTATTTTTTATTAAGTTGTTACAAATCCAACCAAGCAGAATAATTGCTTTTTTTACTTTCATGGTTTAAACAAGGGCTATTTAACTGYGGGCCCACCCAGTAAGCCCCCCCACCAAAAGAAAAAAAAAAAAAAAAAAACTTTAGCTTAATTTTCTTATACAAATTAAACATTTCTACATGTATTCAGATCAGACTTTATAAATTTGGCAATATGTTTTTGTGAAAAAGCTCAAGACATTAGTTGTAGTTCACACCGTCCAACCCAATAACAACCATTTATTCTCTCAGCCAAAAACAGCTGCAGCTGACGACGACGTTTCAAAACAGCTTGTCGTAACGCTGGAGGTGGGACGGGTAAGACACACCACCTGAACATCACACACACACGCAATGTAACTTTGTTCCTCTGAACCGGAACGTAAAAACATTCAGAAGAAGGAAGGCTTAGAGGCAAAAGAGTAATAAGAAGGTGTCCAAAATATAATGATGATGATGATGATAATGATAATAAAACCCCTACAGGGTGTGACGAAGAACTATAGAAGGATTGACAGGAACGGTCGGGTTTGACAAACTGCCAAAGAGAAAGAAAAGAAGTGGAAAGTTTCTCAAGAAAAATGGGAAAGCAAACACACCTATCAGTGAATGGAAGAAAAAGCGCCCAAAGGAACTTAAAGGTTTATTTAATTCAGACCAGGAAGAAGAATGGATTTTTCTTTGCTTTTAGGCTTGCATGAAGCTTTTTAAAGGTTACTGTTCGATCGTTCGAGCTCCACTGGTACCACCAAAAGCCGACTACCTGATTGAGACCCAGTCYACACGGCCTCTGTAAACACAGCCTCACATTTACAGGAGCTCATTCATGTCGGGGCTTTAACCTCTCTGTGAACCAATAAAAGAAAACCAAGAAATGAGAGGGGGGGAAAAAAAAAGGACGATGCAACGTGAAACTGGAGCCTCACTCGCGGTCACAACTCTTCGCTTCAATTATATTCTGACATACAAATAGTAGAATCTGTCTATAACCTGTTAATGACCCAGCGACCTCTCAGCAGGAAGACGGAGGACCTGGCATCACCTTTGTCGACGAGAACACAAAGTCTGGCGTTGAGATGCAGAGTGCGTCTGAAGGGATGGGACCTGCTGAAAAAGTAGGAAAACGTCAAACAAAACGTTGAATATTGATGTCAAATCTTTGCTGATGARTTCCTGTTGTTCTGTTCAGGGCTGCATGAAGCCAGGAGATAAACTCTTAGCTGTTAATGGAGAATCAGTGCTCGGATACACTGTTGAAAAAGTAAGTTATGGTAAAAATAAATAAATAAATAAAAACTTAAAGTGTATTTTACCCCACTGTGAAAAGATAACTCCGCCCCAAGGCGAAATTTGAAAAATGCATCAAAGTGGGTGGGGGGGG